GGGGGGGGGGGGGGGGGGGGGGGGGGCATGGGTCACCGGCCGGACCTGTGGGCTCGTCGCTGCAGCTTCCTGGAGGCTCTGCATTGTGGTTGCTGGGGTCACCCGGTTCTTTCCTCTGCTCCTCTCTGGGGGGTGCGGTTCTCCCTGTTGGGAGACTCTTGGGGCTCTGGGCCCGTGGGCCGCTGTGTGTCTGTGGCTCCGGTCCTCCCTATGTTGCCATTGTGTCCTGGGGGGGTGGGTCTGTGGGCCCCCGCGTCCACTATTGGGCATTCTTTTGGAGAAATCTGGTGGTGGCGGGCGTGCTTGCGCGGGTGTTTGGATTCAGGTGCTTTGACAGATGCACGCTAGGTTGGGTAGTGGTGGAAGCTAGATGATTCCTTGTGCGATGTCGAATGTTTCATGGTGATATTGTGGGTGGCATTGTGCTGTGCATGTTGTTTTGTCATGGTGGTTTCTCGTCTTATCTATTTCTCTCTTATTTATTTATTTATTTATTCTTCTTTCTTCTCTTTCTTTAAAAAAAAAAAAGTGAGCGATGATGATAAGTTCATTGAAACACTTCACAATGTTTCTACACTTAAACTGAGCTCAACAAAAAAAAAAAAATTGTTCAGAGATTATGTCACAAGACAATTAGTGTATCATTTGTATTTCCAAGTGCAAACACTCTGAAAGAGTATTTTGTCCAAAGATATTTATCTATTCTTCTCATTTCATTACCACACTCACATGGATACCTTGGTGCACCGTCCAAGGATATTTCTCTTCCACACTATTGTACTGTAGAACTCTAGAATCTCACTTTGATAAAAAAAAACTTTTTATGTGTGTACTCACTTCCTGTTTGGACATCTGGGATTCTGTAGCAGCTGATCTGTTTTTGTAGCAGCTCTGTCTGCTGTGTTTCCTTGTAAGATTCAGTGATTTTCTTAAGTTTCTGGTCTTGAAAGAAAGGGAACATTGCTATATGGCTATGTGGTGTTGGAGACAACAAAACAAATAATTCAAGTTTATGTTTGGCGGTGGGGGGTGATGCAACAGAGCTATCCTGGCTAATTTATTATTTGCTGCTAAACTCTTAAACTTAAAAAAAATAAATAAATAAATAAACGGCACATAAACACTCTGCCCCCTGCTGACAGAATCTGGTTCCTGCATCCTCTGGATGTTTTAGATTTAAAAACATCAGAAACCTGCTGCTCCATCAGTTTGGCACTTTAATGCCTGTTGAAGATTAAAGTTCTTATTTTTGTTGAATGTTTTTGTTCACTTCAGGTTAGGTTGGAATGTGAACTTGTGTTGTTGCTAACCTATTTTCTAGCATCAAATGTTTTCAAAGAATGTAGTGTTTATTGAATCGAACTTTTCGCAGTAACAAACTTGGAAAAACGGTATGAATAATGACTGCATTCTTCACCCCTCTTTAACTTTGAGTTGATTCAGTCCAACCAGCTACACTGGTAGTAGCTAGCTTGATAGTCGACAATAAGCAGACAGCAGTTTGACACAATAAAAAAAAATCTTAACTGGAATTGGATGGATCTCCCTTGTTTAAGCGCGTTGCAATTTCTTTGCGTGTCTGTGTGTGTTTAGGCTGAAGAAAACCTGGGTATGGTCATGATTTTCACTCTGGTGACAGCTGTTCAGGAAAAACTGAATGAAATAGTGGATGAGATGAAAAACAGGAGAGAAGAGGAGCAACGAGAAAGAGAGAGGGAAGCAGAAGAAGCTGAGAAGGTATCAGTTTTTACCAGAACCAAGTATTCTGGACCTTTTGTTTAGGTCGTCACTGTCTGTTAGTAGTTTTCTCTGTATCTCTTTGTCAGGTGGCGTTCCAGGGAACGGTGGTGACCATCGAGAACTTCCTGGCGTGGAAAGCCAACTTTGAGCTGGATATGGCCGAGTTGAGAAGGAAAAAGCTGAAAGAGGACGAGCAGGCTGGAAAACCTAAACTCACAGGTAAATCTGTTGCAATGCTCCCACTTCCTGTTTTTTAGGCAGAGTGAAGAACATCTGATGTTTGTCTCTGCAGGTAAACAGCTCTTTGAGAGGGATCACAACCTGGACACTTCAGACATTCAATTTCTGGAAGATGGTAAGGAGATATTTTTCATAACGAGTTGTGTATTTATCTAATATTATGAAAAGAAAAAAATGATTCTTAAAATTTAAATCAGTTCATCTATGGACTAAAATCGTTGGTTACGTACTGTAATCCCAGATTCTATGAATATAGGCGTAGCCCTTTAAGGCTGTCGCCAACGATATCACTCTTAATTTATAGAGTTTGTGATGTTTTAGGCATAAAACTGGATTCGGTCTTAGATCAGCTGAGCTGCCATCAGCCTGAATTCCAAGACATGACTGAGCGACAGAGTGGGCAGATAATCTCTCACCCTCTTAGCGGATGTTAAAGCCAGCAGCAGGGCTGTTTTAAGAGACAATAATTTAGTTGGAACCTGATTCAGTAGCTCAGATAGAGCTTAGATCAGGGCTCGCAGGACCAGCATTAAATCCCACTGTGGAGAAAGTGGGCGTGAAACAGGCCTGCATCTCTGTATACCTTTTAAAAAACGCTTCATCAGCGGATGATTAAAAGCTGTTCTGTCTCCGAAAACCTTCGTGACAGGAAAAAGATGGCTGCAGCGTACGTTTAATCGTGCTGAACGCCAGATTTCTGTCCATCAGCTGCTGCAGAAAAGACAGCACGTTACCTAGTGGACATGAGGTTGCCTCTACACTTTTTCTATACACCTTTTATAAAATGCTCCATCAGAGGATGATTAAAGGCTGTTCTGTCTCCGAAAACCTTCGTGACAAGAAGAGATCGCTGCAGCATACGTTTAATCGTGCTGAATGCCAAATTTCTGTCCATCAACTGCTGCAGAAAAGACAGCACGTCACATATTGGACATCAGGTGGCCTCTACACCTTCTTTATACACCTTTTACAAAACGCTCCATCAGAGGATGATTAAAGGCTGTTCTGTCACCGAATACTTTGTGACAAGAAGAGATGGCTGCAGCATACATTTAATCGTGCTGAACGCCAAATTTCTGTCCCTCAGCTGCTGCCAAAAAAGGACAGCACGCCACCTAGTGGACATGAGGTGGCCTCTACACCTTTCTCTGTACACAATTATTTTTTTGTTTATAAAAATAAAACGCTTCATTAGCGGGTGATTAAAAACTGTTCCTTCGTGACAGGAAGAGATGACTGCAGCATACGTTTTAATCGTGCTGGACGCCAAATTTCTGTCCCTCAGCTGCTGCAAAGAGGACAGCACGTCGCCTAGTGGACATGGGGTGGCCTCTACATCTTGTGGGAGACCCATCCTCTCTAAGCGGGTCCGCAGCAGCCAGACCCACATGTGCTGGCCTATTTCTGGGTAACTCCTGATCGTTCCTCCCGCCTGGAGGAGAGCATCCTCTCTCCACAACAGTTTCCACGGGTGCCCCAATAACAGGCGTCGTAGAACCGGAACCCTGGTGCGTTCACGCGCTTGGGAGCCACCAGGAGAGCTGTCAATCCCTCCTCCTGAACTCGGTTCAAAAAACCCGTAATATCAGAGGCGGTGGGGGAACATGTAAAATCGTTTTAGGCCATGGGTTATGAGTGAACACGTCCACTTCCCAGCTGTAGTTCGTCTCGTGGGCTCATTGAAGCCCATAGTTGACACTGAGCGTTCCCTCGTGTTGCAAACAGGTCCACGGCTGCTTGCCAAATTCTTGCCATGTCTGGGCCATCAGACCGAGGTGGAGGGTCCACTCCCCGTGACACGGACCGCCCCTGGACATCACATCTGTCTCTTGTACAGAACACCGGGGATGTACATTGCTCTGGTAGAGAGCAGATTTTGGGGTGCCCAACACAGTATTTTCCTCGCAATGTGTAATATTTGGGCTGCATTGATTCTGCAGTACAGGAACAAAGTGTTAAATCACATTCAGAACCGTGCCAACCTCCAGAACATTTATACGAGCTGTTGTGCGAAGACACAGCGCCCCTACAGCTCAAGATAGGCATGTCACCCCTCAACCTGACACCGGTGAGTCTGTGAGAATGACACGTAGGTCTGCTGACGGGGGCTCCCTCCGACAAAAACCAGGGGTTTTCCCAGTGTCGGAGGTCTGTTCTCACGGAGGGAGGAACAGTGATCGCCCGCCTCTTTCTTGCCTCACCAGATCCATGCATTGACAACATCGTGTTTAACAGCTTTATGATGGAAAATATCTGTCATTACTCTGCCAGGTTTTACGTGACGGAGCTGGACTCTTAGAGAGTCGATTCTCGTCTGTGATAAACGAATAAACAAGTTTAGCCCCACTCCCAGATAACAATCGTCTGGGCCGGGAGCATCGAACTTTTCCAATTTTATGGCGAAGCCCAGAATTGGCAGGTGTGACGTCAACATCTGAGCCTGAGCCTGAGCCTAAGCCTGAGCCGACATGTGAAGCGGTCTGCCCATGATCGCCTTGTTGAAAAACTGACAGGTCCACATCGGTCTCGTTCCTCCAGTCCATTTGGAACCAGGAAGTAACGTGAGTAACAACCTGTGTTTCCCTCTCCGCCGGGAAACCCCTGGACTTCTGCCTTTAGGGATGAGACCTGGCTGGATGACAGGACCGTCTCTTAAAACTCCTCCGAGCGGAGGGGGTCGGGCTGCAAGTTGCAACACGTAACCCCTGCTATCAGCTTTGGCCATCTTTACCTGGCGAGAAAACTTGCAGCCACTCCATGTAACGTCTGTGTATTGGGCGCGCGTTTAGGTGGTGCGTCATGTTTTAACGGATGTCAGTCAGTCCGCCGCCTCAACCACTGTCATGAGCCATGGGAGTGTGTTCTGCGTGACCCACAGGCGAAGCTCGGCTCTGAGCGCGTCTGTGTGCTGCGCTTGACTGCGGGTCCGCATCATGTCTATGTGGAACGCTGTGCGTTGAGGAGATGCGAGTGAAAACTGATGACGCCGCAGGAGTGCGCGTTTGACACCACTGCGGTGAGACGCATGTCGCTCCTGACGAGAGCAAGATACATTACTGGGCTCGTACAGCGATCTCACGTTTATGTTGACGTGAGCGGTGAGCGCTGAGCGCTGAGAAACTGCGTGCGCGCCTTCATAACGCAGCGCCGTATGGGTGAAAGCTGTTCGCGCCGCAGGAGCGTGCGTTGGCACCGCTTCGTGAGGGGTATGCAGCTTGGACTGAAAAATCAAGTTATTCCACTGAAACTCGTTGTGCGGGCCACATTCACTTATGACTGTTGTCATGCGGGCGTCTCGCCTTGTTGGAGTGGCGGTGATTGAAACAGCCTTAAAAGGCCACCGGCTCATTTGTGTGCGGGGGGGGTGGGGGGTGGCGTGACGGAGCCGCTGTCAGGTCATCCGAGCTGACAGACTGGCTAAAAAGACACTTCATCATAAAATTATGTTTTATTCCCACATTGTGTCATCTTAACACATATCCAGCAAACCGTCAAACAGACATCTCCCCTTGAGCTCTGTGGTTTGTTGTCCTAGGGCGCCCCCTGTTGGCGAACTCCAGGAAAAATTGAACTTCCGGATGCCGGGGATGTCGGACGGGCGGGGCTGGCGTAGCAGAGCTGGGAGGCGTTGTGCAGCCATGGAACATCTTGAAAGAGATCTCTCGTTGATGAGGGCCTCCCAACAAAAAGCTTCCTGCGGCTCCTCCGAGAGGGAGGTGGAGTGACGAGCCAGGAGAACCTCTGGAAACTTCGTCCTCCGGCTGCGATGCGGGGCCGGCAGACAGCAAAAGAGGCGCACCGGTTGAGGATGACGTCAGCTGCCCTGCAAAGGGAGCGTATGTCTCCTCCCGCCTCTGAACGTGTATGCCAACAGTGTAACGTGTTGTTTGCTGCGGCCGCCTGGAAACGCACGCTGGTGAGCTCGGTTGGAGAGCGTGTCACCGTCTGGTTACGCTAACCGGAGGCGCGGGACACTGGTCCAACCTGGACATCTTTGCTCCGAAAAGCCTCCGTCAGGCTCGGCTCCCGCGGGCACTGAGGGAATTTCCGCTCGGTGAACCGCTCCACTCTGGTAATAGGCGCAGATGTGGGAACCGGCACCCTATTCTACCAGGACCAGCTGCAGCCTCGTCCCAGTAGGACGTCACCGCTGGGAAAGCGAGGCCAGACGAGAGTCAGGGCGACGAGCCGGAGTGGAGCCCAGAAACCTTCCCACTGGATCATCCGAACTGGCGGGGGAGGCGCGGGACGTAAAAAAGGTCCCTTCATGTCAGCCGTCTCCTGGGTTAAGCCGGGCAAACTCCAGAGGGCGCCGGCGGCTGGGAGCGGTGTGGTCGCCGATGCGAAACAAGGTGAGGGGGGCTGACACTACGCTCTCCAGCATGGAATGAGCAGCGGGGGCTGCTGCTGACGTTGCCTGTCCCGGAGGAACCATCCGATTCGCTCCGAGGGTCGGTGATAAGAGGAAAATTACAAGATGGCGTCGTCCAGCGTGTAGCGACCTGTCACTGAGAAATACTCCTCGGCGCTTACCTTGAAACAAGACTGCTTGTCTGCTTCCCTTCGGGGAGGAGAACTCACCGGGACGACAGAGAGTTGGCGTAATGGGCCAGGCAGTCTTAACAAAGGCTGGTTAGCTATACAACTTTCCTTATTCGTTCTTCTGACAGTGCTATTAGCTTGCTGAAGAAAAATGGGAGCCGATTACCCGCTCTTAACGTAATTTATACGGACCAGGTGGGGCCCACACAGCAGGTGGGCATGTACTAAATTTTTCAGTGTAATGCTTCGCATAACGGGATAAAACCCATCAGCGACAGCTTTAAAGGGCGAAGCCTATATAAAATAGAACTTTTCTCTGTTGAATTTATATTTGTCCCTGATGGACTTTTTTGTTGTGCTATATAAATAAATGTGACTTGACTTGTGAATACGGATGCCTTAAAGCAACAGGATATTGGTGGTGTTTCAGTGATGGCAGATGAAACAGAAAGGACGTCCTTAACTGAGTCGACCTTCAACAAGCAAAAAAAACGCATTTTGTTCCTGAATGACTGATTGCAATAGGTACTTTCACAAAAAACTTCAAACTGGGATAGGGCTGTTGTAAGCAGG